CAATGCCATGATGTGGATTAGGGAAACCTTCAGCCGGATGGAAATGGCAGCAGTTGCCTTTTCCAGGCTCCCCTCAAAGGAAAGGACAGTATTTTCCAGATGTTAATTTAATGTACTGGAGAGCTCAAGGGGAAAGGGGGGCTGTTAGCACTTTACAGATGTGAAAAGAAAGGTGTGGCTTTCTGTCCCCACAACCCTGTCATGGGCAGTCTGACAGCGGAGAGTGGATTTCTTGTGCTGCTGAATTTTGGCATAAAGGCAAAGTAATTGTCCCCAATGCCATATAGGTCCCATATGGAAGGGCAAAGGGGAGCTCTGACTCCCAGCCCTCTGCTAAGGCCAAGGATGGGTTTGCAACCAACAGCGTGGGTAGTGCTGATTTAGTCAAAGAGGAGGGAGAACATCCACTTTTCTTGGAAAGGATTTTTCCATCTGACTTGTATACGGGCTCCGCTCAGCCCAAAGGCTGCCCTTGAAGCCCGGGGCGGTCACAGGGCTGAGGACCCCTTGCCCTTTGCCCCCCCGGGTTCTCCTACCTGAAACAAGGCGCAGGGGCAGCACGGGGACCTCCCTGAGAGGGGTGGGCTGGGGAAGGGCTGCAGGTTTTGTCTCTGCTCGGGGTACCAGAAGGGATGAATCCATCCTTTAATCACCAGATCACGCTGCATCTTTACAAATGCTTTTGGAAGAGCATCTCTGAAGCAACGCCATTTTCCTTCTTACTTTAAAAACTTTGACTTTAGGTGCAAACAAAGGATTGTGGGTTTGGGGATGATTAAAACTAAACAGGGGTATGAAGATATGGTTGGGTAGAGTGGTATGAGATGGGTTAAGAATGTAGGGAAAAGGGTTTCTGTGCCCCAAAATTTGTCTGTTTTTTCCAATTTTAGCACCCGGTCTACTAAGAGAAATAGTTCTTTAGTACAAGCCTTATAACCACATGTCATTCAGAAAAGTTTAGCTAAGAATTAAACTAAACATCAAATTTGGCTGAATGTGTAATGAATAAATAAAGCCTTTTCCTTTCATGTACCTGTGCCAAAATCAACAAGCTCTATTAGCTGATGAAACAATGCTGACGCCAAATAAAAATACCCCTGACCCATCAATATGGGCTAAGAGCTCGGCCCTGCATCAAAGAGCATTATCTGAACAAGAAATACTGTCTCGACACCTCTGGGGGGAAAAAAAAGGGCTCCCATCCCAGCGGTGAGCGGGGCTCCCCGTGCTGCCGGCCGGGTGCAGGGAGCTCCCACCGGGGTGTCAGGGAGCAGTGAAACCATTACGTGATGGCCGTCGGCTTGCAGGCAGTCTGCTCCGGACACCTCTCCTGTACGCCCCACCTTGCTTTTGCTAGAATGACTTGGAAACCCCTTGAGCTGCAAACCTGTTTGGAGCAGGGACCCTGGCTTTGGTGTTTGCTTGCTCCCTGCTGCCCGCCCCATGTGTAAATTGCCCACAAAACCTGCATATTTTTTTATCATGTGTGCAAAACGCCAACGCTTGGAAGTGAAATTCTCAAAGGTGCCTGCTCAGTACCAAAGAAGCGCTTCAGCATCTCGGAATATCTCAATACCTGGGAGCACCCTGCCCAGCTGTGCCATCCTCCTCCTCCTCCCCAGGAGGGTGGGATGGTGAAGTCACGCCACATCTCCCCTCTACCCCACACAGCCTGCGCAGCTTTGCCGTTCCCCAGCCATGCCTGTCCTGCAAACCGCGCTCATTTGAAATCTGCGTTTAGCTGCCCTGTGCCATGCCCTGGATGTGATCTTTGAAGTTTCACCCTTCCCTCGGCATCCTTGGTTAAAAGATCTGTTCCCTATTAGTCTTCAGTCACGCTTTTAGATTCATTCAGGCTTTTATTTACTTATCCATCTGTCTTCCTGCTCCCACCACTCCCCCTGCCCTGCCACAAGGGAAAGTACAATTCATTTTTCAGCTGACCCTGCCAGAAAGGCATTGACATGAATAGGAGAAGGTTCAGGAACTGTGGAAAAAGCAAAACCCCCGACTCTAATAAGCAGCAAAATGCTTCCCAACCAGAAGGGAGCAGCCAGATGCGACTAGAATTGCTGTAAAACAGAAAAGACAATCCTCCAAATAATTCCTGCAATCCCCCAGACGCCTCCTTTTGCTGAACTCTCTGAGCGCTGCTCGAAGTTGTTAAAACCGTAGCGTGCGATCCTGCGGGCTGTGCAATGCCTCCTTGGCACCGGTACAGCCTCGTAGGAAACGTTCCCTGTCTTACACGGTGCTGACTTTCACCAGGGCTCTCCCCCTCTGCTTGCCCACAGCGATGCCCCGCACGGGGACATCGTCCAGCTCCCTCTTGTCTGGCTGCCTTAAGCAAGGAGGGACGTTTGTGTGTCTTTAATTTTGATTTCAGTTGTCTGAGCAGTGCAGGCGTCCTGCCAGGCTGTGCTTAATTCTGAGTAACGTTAGTTTAACTGCACGGACAGTACCCTGCTGTTTTGAAAGACACCTAAGAAAGCAATATAGTCGCTGTAAGAACTTCTCTGCTGGAAAGCCAGGCTCCTATGAGAACCCACCTGTTACATAAAAATAATTAAAACCTGAAGAGAAAGGATAACAGGACACCAAAAGGCATCCGAGCAGGCTGGCAGGCAAGGAGCTGCGCAGGGTTCATGCGAGTCGCTAACCCTCCCCTCTCGCACCAAGGGCCGGGGCTCGGAGGTTGTAACGATCGGTGGGCAGCGACATTGATTTTTGCCCAGCGCTTCCTTTGCGCAGGGGTAGCAAAACTCCGCTTGCATCCCCTGCGGGCTCCGCTCGCCTCTCTCTGCATGTCAATAGGTGTCAAGTCACCACCCAGGACCGGCGATGGAAAGGCCATTTCTTGCTGATTCCACTTTCTACTGACCATAAGGGGATGCTCAGCAGTAAATGGCCACGTGTCATTCTCTGTGACAGAGGCCATGAAAATTTACTTTGATGGTCTCCTGGCACACACAGCTCAAGTCCTCAGGCTGAACTGGAGCCTGGATCTCTCCTGCAGCCACCTCCTACTCTGCGCACTAAGTGCTGGGTGGGCTCCTTGCTCGCCTCAGCAGGGCTGCCCTTCATCTGCTTTGTTTTTAACACTCTCTAATCCTCTGGAGAGGACAGCCCTGGTGCAAGATGGGGGAGAAAGGGCCATGAATACAGTGGGATTTCATAAACCTCTCCCAAAAATCTAAAAAAATAACTTGCAATATATTACTCCTGTTCTTAGCTTGATGCTTCATCAGGGAATTGCTCGGGGACGTTGCCGTGAATGCCGGTTTCTGTGTCGGGAGATGAATGCTGGGTCAGGCGCGTACCCCGGGGTGAGGCAGGGACAGGAAGGCAAATCCATGTTTTGCATTTCTGTAACTCCCATTCATGGCTGTTCACGGTGTTTGCGAGCGTTACAGCACATGGCAGGCGTACGCTACGAGGAAATACTGCTCATGCCCAGAATAGAAAGATTTTAGCTCAGTATTGACTGAATCAAGAGATGTAGAGCGCTGATTGCAGTTTGTGTCATTTGCTTCCTTGGAGGTCAGTGGAACTGAAGTCTGGAGCATCCTTAGCCAGAAAGCGTTTGCAAATAGCTGCAGTGAATGTAGCAGAAAGCAATCTGGGGTTCACCTTTTAATCCTTCTGCAGCCAGTCAGATAAATGGAAATCCAGGCTGACCCATCAATAGTTAACTGTTTCATTTGCAACCTTTGACTTAATCTTTCTTTTCAAATAATCTTTTAAAAGGCAAAGCTGCTACTTATCGGGAATTAGTGAAAGTATCTTCCCTGGTACTAATGAGACCCCTTAGGCTGGGGAGAACTGGGTAAATAAATAGTGGTGGCATGTTCTGATGGTCATAAATGTTTGGCATCTCCTGGTATCAAAGCAGCACCTTTCTCTTGGATTTTCAAGAGGTGCCCTGAGCGGGTTGGGCCCAGGGTATTTTCTACGTGTACCTGCATTTTCTAGGTGGGGAACCGAGGCGTGGGGTATCTGAATCTGGCTAATGCTGGCAATAGAAATTGGCACTCCTGTCCCCTCTTCCACTGATTTAGAGGGAGGAAAACTCCCCTTCTCATTACAGGTAATAGGCTACTATACTCCTTGTCCAGTGCTCACCCCAGTAGAAACCCTGTCAGCACGGACTGGCTTGGTCACTGTGCCTTAAATGTGTGCTCAGACCGCTCCTGGAGGACATTTGGGAGGGGATGTTACAGCCATGCTGTTTTGCTTTTTGCTTTGACCCCCGAACTCTTTTTAGCAATGTAAAGCCTTGTGAATTATAAATCAAATGTTCCTGCTGAGCTTTGTGGTGCACGGAATGAAATGCAATGATTAATATTTAAGAGAAAATAAGTTAGAGATTTTAACTACAAGGGCAAGTGTCTGTCCAGAGAGTCTTTTCATGTGGAGGCTAGAAGAGAGGGAGAGCTGCGCTTTCAGGGACTTCAGTGAAACTCGTGGCTGCCAGCCCGCCTCCCTGACCTGCCGGTGTGCGAGGCCACACTGGCCTCCACCGCCCTGCCCCTTGCTCTTACTCGTGCCGAAACGATGCGCCCACCTCTGATAAAACCCCGGTGCCGGCACAGCCTTTTGGGATGGGACTGGTGAACACACCCCACGCACTTTAGCAAGCAGAGGGACGTGCTCAGAGCAGCTCAGGTTGCGTGCTCGCTGAGGGCAGAGCTTTTCCAAAACCCAGACCTTACCACCCCAGACCAGGACTTGCTAAGCCCACCCTGGCTACTCCTCACCCTCCCCTCAGCGTGCCAGCACCATCCCTGCTCTAGGGCCGACCTCTCGTTGGCACAGCACCGGGATGGGCAGGACACCTTCTCCCCATTTTGCAGATGGGGAGACTGAGAGCTCAAGGCAGCAACCACCATTGCCACCCTGAACCCAAATGCCCTTATAACGGCATCTCGGCAGGACGCTGCCTCTGGCCACCTGCAAGCAGAGTCTGTTATAACACATCAAACAAGGAGGGAAACACTTACATGGGTGCAGAATCTCTCCGGCGGGTCCCCACAAGTGATTCCTGCCGGATCCACCCGTACTGTCACGTAATCCTTCATCCGCATGGCCTTGGGTTGACAAGCGTAAAACTCCCATGACGGGCCATCGTCCGTGGTCACCCAGGACTTGCAAATGTCATACTGTCCCATGGCCAAGGGGAGACAGTGCAAGAGGAGAGCAACCAGGTAGAGCATGGCAGCTGCGGCCAAGCGTGGGATCCCTGGGCGAGGGCAGTGCCGAGAGTCCCGAGGAAGGCAGCTACTGGGCTAGGGGTTGCTCTCGGGATCAGCATGGAAACTCCTCATCTAAAAATGATCCAGTCTAAGGAGATCCAGACAGTAACAGGAACGATCCCACTCTGCACGCTGTATTTGGACGTGGAAAGTTTCTCTCGGCACAGAAGCCAACTTTGCAAATCACTTGATTGGGAAAGTTTTGGCCAGAGTTGCTGATCAGTGGTCAAAAGTCTTCCTTAACCTCATTTTTTTCCCCCCTTTTATTGTATGAAAGGGCTTCCAAATCAGCATGAAAATATCTAGAGGTGACTCCAGTCAATCAATAGAAAGATCAAGTTCTGAGTTGCTGATGAAATTTGATAGGAGTAAATTGCAGAGGCTGCGAGATGGTGCTGGATCAGGTTTTCCTCAACCTTCTTGTCTGCTGCAAATGCGTCGCTCTGGAAAGTGCCTTAAACTGTGATCTGCCTTAAATAATTCTTGGGGCTTTTGAACATTAATACATAAAATAAATACAGCATCTGTTCATCAGTACAACTCTGACAAGAGAGACTCTTTGGAGCTAAAATTCCTTTCTCCCAAAGGATGGTTGTGTCAACATAAACACGTTGGGTGGCAAGATCCGCAGCGGTCCCAGCAGGATGCTGGCTGGTCAGTGGGTTGGCAGGAGCGGCGCTGGCCTTGCTGCTTCTCCCTCTGTGTCTTGCAGGGGCAGCGAGGCACTCGCAGGCGAGGATTTCTGTCTGACTCTGCCTTTTGGCAACTGAGCATCAAGTTCCCCAAGCCTTCAGCTGCAAGCCATGCTGCTACCTGAGGTCTCCTCTCTCTTTCATGGTCAGGGCAACGGGAGAGTTCATTAGCAGGCTGCACCTGCAACAAATCGAAAGACAAATTAGCTGGGAGCAAGGGGGGGGGGCAGTTGGAGCAACAAGACTTGTAGGAACAGGGGTCCCCCAGGAGACACAGCCCTCAGCTGGGCTTCCCAAGCCACAAGCCAGGCTTCTGTAAAAGGGAGATATACAACTTTAATAAAAAGAAATCCATAGTAAGATGCTTATGGCTCTTCTGCTGTTTCGGAGATGGGGAGGAGCGCTGCCCTCTTTAAGGTATCTGGTTTGTAACAGCAGCAGGACAATGAGAGCTCTAATGGGTCTTCAAATAGTATCAAGAAGCAGCTATAGGTCATTAGAAGACAGAGAATATGCAGACACAGAGCAGGGACAGACAGACAAATTGATAGTCTTAAAAAGATAAGCAAATAAATAAGGCAGCTGGGGAGACAGATACATTGTCCAGCATCCCCATGTATGATTTATCTGAACAATAACATTTAATAAAAACCAATTTGAAGTCCTAATAACATTTAAGGTTCACCTAATACAAAGAACAGTGACCTTCTCAGTATTCATTTCAGGTTAGAGCAACATTTCTGCAATTTTGTCATCTTTCCAGTAGAGCTATAAAAACCTTAAGTAATTACAAAACAAAATGACAAAGAACCGGGAAAAAAAAAAAGAAGTCAAACCCTCTCTCAGCATTAGACCCAGGAGGGAGATCTCATAAGAGAAGGTGGGAGGCACGTATCCAGAAGAGAAATTTAGCTCTGGATAATTCCCTTCCTATTTGATTCCCCAACTTTTCTTCCACAATTTTGGGATGTCTGCTTCAACAGCCTGTTTAGTATTTGCTTTCTCATAAAGCTCAGTTACTAAAGCTCAGAAACTCCAGGTTAACAGATGCATTGATTCACATCGCTGTGCTACCATCTCCCTTTCCCCCCTTTTTGGTTGAAAGATTGCTGATGGAGATGAATGAGTTCAGAAAAGAGAAGCTATCTCTCATGCTTCATCGCCAGCTCTCAAAGAAGAGCCTATTATAGCTGCGTTGGACCTGAATAAACTCCCAAAGAAAGAATAGACTGGCTGCTATTTTTATATTATGAGTAAATGTAGTAAAAATAATAAACCGGTGTGACACAGTGTTTGTAAGTCCCGCTGACATCAGAGCTGCCTTTTCAGTTATAACAAGTCAGTTCCTAATTATTACATCGAGCCGGTCGCGGCCAAGTGCCTAATAACAGCGGAGAGCGTGAGACTCCACTATTGTACAGAAAACAAGCAGGGTAGTTTTAATGAGGAGTCCAGTGCTGCCAAGTTTATGGATCTATTTTCATAGCCTTAACAATTGTATCTTGCACTTGAATGGCTGTCAGGGAAAAACCCAGGAAGAAAGGATCTATAATATCTACTAGTTTCTTGTTATGCTTGCTAAATGTCATAGATTCCCAGGGAAATGAAAATTTGCCGGAAAAACGTATTTACTGTCAGTCACTCAGCCAGGCGTGCTGGTTCCCTGTGAAGTCTGCGGTGCAACACTTCGCCGGTACGGTCCCTTTGCAGAAATAGTTGCAGAACGTTGCTCTGAAATAAGCCAGCATACCGCACACGGGGGGAGAGACTCCCTGAATTAAAGGGTTTGCCCTGCTTGATTTGGTTTGATCCTTAGAAAATAAAGCCTCACCTGGTATTATTAAGAAACTGCAGTTCATGGGAACAAATAGAACCAATGCTCTTTGTTTTCTTTGAAGAGTACTCAGCTATCACTGGGGGCTGACAGCCAGAGTATTAAAACCACAAAATTAGATTGTATCTTGACTTAGCTGGTTCCTTTTTTATTATTATTGGATTAACACCCTATTGAAATAACGAGGCAACACTGAGCAACAACTGAGCTGCTCTGGAATTAAGAACAGAAAGTAAACTCAGTGAAGGAGTTTTCAATTTTCTTTCGGAACTGTCGCCTTCGAAATAAACCCCAACCGCCCCCCCCCCCCCCCCCCCCCCCCCTCCCCGCCCCCTCGCCATCACTGTCCCCCCCCTGTCCCCTTGCCAT